ATAGCATCATTCACAATTATTTAATTAAATTTGTCATCATTATTTGTCATTACCATATAACAATTTTTTTCTCGAGATCGCGACCTGTTTAATAGAAATTATTTTATGTCATCAATAATTATAACAATTAACAATTCCATCAAAGATGACTTGAATTAAAATCGTTTTTATCATTTTTTAGACAGTTTATAATAGTCCTTATGTAATACATTTTTCATTTAGAATAGCTAGAATAAATGAATCAAACCGATTGTCTCCTCGGTGAGGGATTATGTCTTTCAGAAAAAGTCAAGCTCTCCGTTATATGATGTGCGTCGCACGGAAATTAGTATAATTCCATATTTTTCAAATCCAATATTTTAGTCCTTGGCTCGCAAAGATAGAAAGAAATATAGTATAAAAACGATAAAAGAAATAAATGCATCCTTATCGAGAGCTTCGAACTTCGGTAATTAAGCTGAATTTTTCAGAAAATTTCGAAATTTTATCAATAACAATAATTCCAACAATAAAAAAAATAATAAAAGAACTTTATAAGTAATGTTTTTTTCATACATATATATAATACAATATAATAAATAGTTAGGATCTTTCCACTGATTTAGTGATGAGAAATTTTTGAAAGGACTTCATTTCGCGATTGAAGCTTAGATTGGTCCAGATTTTTTAATGGCATGTGTGCCCCTCTCGAATACATGTAGAATTCAAACCTTGAGGCGATAATTTAAATAAAAATTACTTTGCAGTTCTTCAAATTTTTCTCGGATTTTAATATCTTAAATTTCGTTAAAATGCAGAATTCTTCAAAAAACATCAATAAATCAAAAGTTTATAGAAAAATAATCTTTTTTTATTTTCCAATAGAAATAAATTTCGAGAATTTTTCATGGATCCTTTGAGTATAAATTTTTTTATCCATCCTTATTAAATATTTTTCACTGCAACAATTCCAGTAAATTTTCCGCTGTTTTAATTTTCCATTTTAAAGTTTTTTTTCGAAATTCGGAATTCAGGAAGCTTATTTGAATTGGCGATGAATTATTTTAATAAAATTTGTGTGGACTAATTAATGAATGAATGAATAGGAGGAGGTAACTGAAACTACATTGAACATTAATTTTGTATGCTGCAATTGGCCTTTATTTGTCACCTGCCCATTTATTTAAACGATATACATATAGTCGCTGATGGGTCATTAAAATCTTTCATTTATATCCATTTATCCATCCTACTCGAAAGCTAGATTCATTGTCTGTCGCTTACAATATTCTTTCTGTTTGCCTTCGTTTTAAATGGCACCGTCGTTATAGTAAATAGCATTATTTATGATTTCACATTATTTCTCATTTATCGTTGTCATATCAATTTAACCACCACTTATTCTTATGTTTTTTTGCGATTGAGCCATCACATAATTTTTTTTGTAAAAAAGCCGCAAAACATTTGAAAATTGAAAGGAAAACATATTGACCATGAAGAACGGTTCCAATTTCACAAAAAAATTTTTCTTCGAATTTTTCAGAATTATTTGAACTTTAGTGAATTGTGGCATAATGCCTTATCATCTTTTGAAATGAATTGTTTTACGCCGTTCCATGTTTATTATATTTTCCCTTTTGATAGTGCGCATCACTTGTGGTTTGATTAATGCTATTGGCTATAATGGTACTTGCCTAAGCCTCTCAGTTTGGTGCTATATATCTGAAAATAGAAGCAAATTCTTTTCCCATTATTTAAGCGTATATCAATGGGCCGGCTGTGCATTCATTATCATAAGGCTTAGCATATACCTTAGCTGGATACTGGATTTTTATTGTTTTTAAATGCTTCAGTCACTTCAGTCACCTTTGTTTTTTTTCTTTTAATGCCATTTTCCAGTGGAACAAATTGTTTTTCGAAGAACAGTTCGATACTTTGCCCAAAAACTAAATATTTGACAAATGTGATTTCAATAAACCGGAATGCGCAAACTTCTTAATACTGTTATTGAACCGTTGGATCTTTCAAAAAGAATTTGCCCATAAATATTTAATAATAGTAAAGTAATTATTTATTTTTAGCATTTATGAGAAAATTTGGTAATAAACGGATAAATAGATATTACAAGACGAAATAGTTTTGTTCTAACCGAAAATAAATACAATCATAAGGCTTTGAGGAATATTAAAGTTAAAAACTCAATTTTTTGGAACTTAACCTTTCAATTTAAGAAAATTTATCATTTATCATTTATCATTTTTATCATTTATCATTTTATCATTTATTTATCAAAAATTTATCATTTTAACGCTTCTTTAAAATTTCTAATTTTTGGAACTATGAGTTCATAAAATCAATCCAAATAGTAATCCAAATAGTAATTTTAATCGAATTTCTTCGCTAAAAAATGATAATCATATCAAAATAACTGATTTTTTTCCTTGGCATTTCTGGGCATTTCTGACATTACCATTTCTGGTTATACTCACTCACTTCAATGGCTATAAGTGTAGGAAGTTTTCGCCAGAGCGTCACTTCGGGATAGAAGTGATAGTGGATTGGCATCACTCGGAATAATACAATATTACTTCATTAATGAATTCTGAACAATTTCTGATTCAATTCTAAGGTTATTAAATCACTTACCTTCATTTACCATTTTTTTCACTTTTATAGGTTTCGATATGCTTGATCTCAGGTTTTCTAAATGTAATTACGTAATTATTTTCAGTTTTTACTTGATAATTCATTAATTAATAAACCTTGAAGAATCAAATCAACTGTTGAATTATTTGCCCATTACTATTTAGTCATTACTAAGCACTGCATTTTTTATCTGCCACCTACCTACCATTTCACTCCAAGTGACTCTCTAATAAAGGGGTCTCATCCTAGTTGATGAAATTTATTGCGTGGATTACCTTTTATATTTTTTATTTATATTTTAAGTCATTTTTCCTATATAACATATCTTTTTATTATATTTCTGGATAGTGTGAAGATTGAAAATAAAAACTAATAGATTCATTGACAATCCGTATATCCATAGATGAGATAAAAGAAAATTGAAGCAGCAGCATATGTAAGTCAAAGGGAATTCATTTTCTTCCGTCAAGATGGTAGTGTTGTTTGTTAATCGATATGTTCGCCTTAAGACAACATTGCCTAACTGCTATATTTTACGCTGATTTTATTATATTTAATTACTGATTTCAGTATTTCTGTATTTTTATAAATTAAAAAAGCTAGAAAATCCAAATTTTCCATCTCAAAAATTTTTAGTATTTCTATTATTTTTCGAGATATCCTTTTTTAATCTTTCAAATAATAAGGCTAACAGTGAAATGGCGTACTTCCATATGAGATAAGCTCACCGATCGTTTTCTACTAATTATGTTATATGTCATCCTCGAATTTTTGTTGAAAAATCCTAAAAAAGTGGCTGAAATATTTCTCTTTAACGTATTTTCTTTTGCTAATGCTACATTCATATGTCGTAAATCAGTTATTTCAGTAATTTGCGAATTCACTGTATATTTTTCCTACGTGATAGGGCAGATACGGATTTTGATCTAGTTTCATCGAAAAATATATTGTCATTGCTTTTACTTTTACTTTATACACATATATGTTCAGAATGCTCAAATGCTATTTCTCATATTCTCATATCTAGTAGAAATCTTGACAGCTCATCCACTGATCTTGTCATTTGATTTAGAATCGCCAATTAATTCACTAGCTATCGCCACTGATCAGGTAAGAGTGATGTTAATTGCATTTTGTGGCTTTTTAAATTATATATTTTATAATTAATATTTGTTTTTCAAAGTTTTAAATTTCATTAAATAAAATATATACAATTTCTACGCGGTACTTCGCGGTTCTACGTGAACAGAAAAATCCTTCCAATTCTTATTCATCCTTGATCACGTGATGATTAAAATAAAATGCCAGAATAAGATATAAAATTCGACAAATAGAATTTTTTTATGATTAGATAGAATAGTAATAGAAAATCAAAAGAAAAAACGTTTATCAATTATGAGAAAATGAGGTTAGTGTGTTGTTTCGTATTTAAGCTATTAACCACGAGTAATATAGGCCCTATTTCCCTATTTTTTGGCGGAAAAAAAGTATTAAAAGCGAAATTTGAGTCCACAGACTCAGCTGTTTTTATCACCAAGTATTTTTATGATGGAAGAGTTGGCCAGTAGTCAGTATTCAATTAGTGAGCCAAGCTAGGAATAGTTTATAGTAGGTGATGAATAATAATGGCGTGATAGAAAAATGGTTCAGCACTACGAATGAAATATGGGATAGAATGGCTCAATGGGTTGTTGCTCAATTGGGAGCGCCGATGCTGAGGTTCGATTCCCCGCAGGGGTAAACTTGTATAAAAATCAGGGCGACTCACCTGTATTTCCATCGCCAAGGGACTCCCTGGCATATTGCCCAATGCAACAGGCAAGTGCAGCGAGTTTAACCAGTAATGGTGAGGACTCTTAAAAAAAAGAAAATGAAATATGGAAAGTCGCAGCGTGAAATTCAATTTCTTGCATAATTACACGCTATTTTTATATGATTAAAAGAAGATTGATATATCGAAATATGTAAATAATGTAAATATAAATCGAGTATTAACAAAAGATGTCTTTTAATCAACTGTATATCATAAATTTTATGCATTAAGAAAATAAACTTCTTAAACTTTAAACTTAAACTTCTTAAAAGCTTTTAAAGCTTTTAAAATGACTTTCACATTGATCAGAACAAAAATAACAAAATAAGAGCCATATGAGCCATAATTTCATTTTTCATGTAATAGTCAAATTTTGAAACTTTTGAAATGTAAGATTAAAAAAGGAATTTTCACTGGAATTATCGAGAAACAAGGCCAACAAATACTAATATTTTCAGGGCTTTCGATAATAATTATCCCATATTTGCAGATTTATATATCGTCAGTGAATCAATTACTGGTGCTCAATGTGACATCATTCGATTTAATCGCTCAAACTAAAATGGGTCCACAACTTAGTAGTGATTTGTGTAATTATGACTTATCATCGTGTTTAAGTAATGCCAACTTATCGCCAAGTGATTACATCAGTAAAATTTTACATCTTACTAAGGATGGGATTCTTATTTGTGGGACCATTCGCCAGGGTGTATGTCAGATAAGATCCTATCATGATCTTAGTGTTATTCGTAATGGTAGCGTTCCTGTTTCGCCAAACAGTGTTTCTGCTTCATGTGTTTCATTAATCGATTCTGAAGGAATGCTATTTGTTGCGTCTACTTATGCTGTTGATACACCTTATAGGTACTTTTTTATCCGTCTTTTGTAGCAAATGATCTTATTCATTAAAAAATCGAAGCTTTTCTTTGATTTTAACTGGCAGCCTGAGATTTCTTGTTCTCGACCTTTCATGAGCCCTTTTTTTTGCAATTTTTTGAAACACGACATAAATTTTTTTTTCAAATTAACGATTATTTAGAGAGTCATTTCCCGCAATTTCAAGTCGCTCACCACCGGATTATTATATAATCAATTCTGGATCGATCGAAGGTGAAGCTGCAGTTCATATTCGTGCTGAATATCGTCAACAATTTCATGTGAATTATATAACGGGATTTTTTCATAAACATTATATTTATTTCATAAGCACACAAAATAAATTTTTATCGAACAATATTCTATCAAATATAATCGTTTCGAAATTAATACGTATTTGCAAAGATGATGAAAGGCTAGTTTTTTTCCTAAAATTTTGGAAAAACGTGAATTTTACAAATTCCCGGCAATAAATAGAAAATATTTATGACTGAAATAAATGTAAATAAATATACAAATAAATTGGTCATTCAACTGCTAATTTATAAAAAATGATCGCTCTATTATAAGTTATATTCCAATATATTAAATTTACTGAAAATAAATCATTAGAAAGATTTAGAAAATTGCAGTTTAAATTCTTAAATTTAAATTTGCAATTTTGTGAATATTTTGTATCTTAGGCATTCAGTCCTCATAATTTTCAGTTATTACTTTTAGGCATTTTGAATTTCTCCAATACTACTAGTATTTTTTGTTTCCATAGTATTCCACAGTAATATTTTTTCTTCCTTTAGTCACCTTATCCGATTACTTGATTTGTTAATATTTTAAAGGTTAATTTCAATTTTAATAAAGTTGAATTCTGGAATGCAACCAACTTTTTTATTTTTTTTCTTAAAAATATATGCTAACAAAAAATGTAATTTATTTCTATATTTATTGCTAATAGAATTACAATATTTTTTTAACTAATTAGGGACGATTGCTTTATACTAAATTTGAATTTGGGTTAGTGAATTTCATGAAATATTTAAATATTCTAAATGGGCCATAAATATAGCAATGAAATCAAAATCAGCCTTCAAAATTCTAGAATTTTCCTATTATATTTCTTCTATAAATAAATAGGAAATTATCGGACCAAACAAAAAAGAATTTATGTCCTTATATATATCTTTTTTTTGTCAATTTTTTCTTCTTTCATTATAAAAGAGAAAAAATAAAATAAAAAACAAATATAGTATTTATTCATATTGTTAATAATTATATAGGTCCAAAGGCGATTCATCAACACTGTAATATACAATTATGCTCGCGCATATTGTGGTACTATACTTGATTAACTTTACCGTCCGTCCTTGTTGCAAAAAGAATTATTTTTTATTACAGATTCACATTTTATCTAAAGTACGATAAAGAAAAAAAAGAAACGAAAAAATGTATCAGCTCATTGCAGAAATTTCTGATTTCAGATATATATCTTACAGTGAAATAGAACTCCAGTGTCGTGGAACAGATAATCGTAATTTTAATATAATAACTTCGGCAGTGCTTATGGACGATCTGTTAATAACAGCTTTCACAAATAATGATCGTAAAGAATCCGTTATGTGCTTGTATTCTATGCAAAAAATAACTTTAACTTTTTGGTATAACATTGATAGATGTCGAATCGGCAGTGATACAACACGTTTAGCACATATCGGACGTGATAATAAATGTGTTAATGTTAGTTTTCCTTTTTGTAATTTATACATCGTATGTTATTAATTAAAGGCAGCAACATGCTCCATTGTGATCCGAAAATTTTACGATGTCTCATAATATCCAATAGAATACCCTTTTCATATAAATATATATAAATATTTATATATTTGTAAAATCCCCTGTCGATGGCAAGGGCCATCCTCAACCTCGGGTCCTCCTTTTAAGGTCTAGGAGCTTGAAGGCACTGCCCAGTATATCTTATATCTTTATTTATTATTCTATAATTATTTCTAACAATGCACCTTCTTGATAGAGATCTATATATATATATATATATATAAAAGTTATTTTTTGCATAGAATACAAACACATAACGGATATATATATATATATATTACGCTGCTTGGACAATTTAGCTTTTTAGCCAAATAAAGAAGCTTATAATTAAAACTCAAATCCGGGTGGTGCTGAATATTTGCATTTTATCTTCAAGTCATATTTTGGCGAAAGGATTTCAATGAAGGCAGTCAGAAATAAAAATATTAATTTGAATACGAAAATATAAAAAAGAAAAGTTTTCGAAGTTAACTGATGTTTAGAGATATGATCAATGTTAAACATAACAAAGGAAAAAAAGTAGAAAAATAGACAATAAAGGCGATAAATAATATTTAATCATAGCATTTTATCTTTTCTTTGCATTTTATTGTAAAAGGACAAATAAACAATGAACAAAACAATGAAGTTTTAAGGATTTTTGTCTGAGTAACTAAATTTTATTTTTCCATAAATTTTTTATTTTATTTTATATTTTTTATTTTAAATTAATCCAAACGTGAAATGAACTTGCAAATTCCATACTTTCAGAAATCTCAAATCGCACTAAATGAAGATACGTGTGCAATGGGTGTTGGTAGTCATATTGAATGTGATCAAATAGCTGCTTATCGAGTCGATTTTCAGATAAACTCATTAGCTGCCATCACCATTAATGAAATAATGCTTGGCATATTAGGTACCAATGATGGAAGGATTATTCAGGTATGGGAGAAAAAAGCATAATACATAAATTTTTTGAACCTAATTTAATGAGAACTGGCTTTAAACATTAAGCAATTTATCGTTAGCAACCAAATTTTCAAATTTTGTCAAATATTGAATTTTTGTTAATTTGCGCATTCTTTATTCATCAATTCATTTAAAATTTCCTAATCAAAAATAAAAAACTTACAGTGCTTTTTAAAAAGCTTTTACCGCTATATTTACTTATTTGAAACTATAAAGTACGTCGATAAGTGCCATGTGCTTGCATTAAGAATAGCTAAGCGCCAAATGAAAAGAAATTAGTGATTTCGATATAAAATATAAAAAAAGAAATGTAACCAAGGGCCAACAATATAAAGAACTGGATGACTGGATGTATTATTGGCACATAATCGCATGCTGAAAGATCAAGATTTTAAACTTCCTGCATAATATAAAAGTCTTAAATAATATTGCGGATGATATTATTCAATTATTTTTAAAAATAGCTAAGGATGATGCAATATGTCGTTCAGCGACCCATTGTAATTAATGGTAGGAAAAAGTCGGGGGTTCTTTAATTTTTCAAATTTTCCATAAAGGTTTTAGTAATTTTAACCTATTAAATCTTGCTAGATTCAAATTTAACCTAAAATTATAGTATTTGAAACCATATAATTTGAATTTAGAATTTAACCATATAGAATTTTATATATTATAATTTTATTTAAATTCTATTTAATTCGTCGAATTAAAAAGAAATTTATGTTGAAGTTTTGTTTTACAATTAAGATATTAACATTAAGAAAGAGGCGATGAATAAAATATTTCTGGACCCCTTCAATTAATTTACTTGATGTCTAGGGAACAAATTATATTGCAGATTATATTCAAGAGGAGAGAACGCTTCGTTTATTTTGAAATTTTTAGTCCCATTTTTAAGAATAAAATTTAATATTCTTATAACTATGCCAAGATCTGAGATATTTGATACAATATTCTATTATCCTATTATTTACACAAATGTGGGGAAAATCGGAATCTTTCAAATTTATAGATAATATACTATTTTTAAACGAAAAGGTAATTTGCCTGCCATATAACTAGTTGGCATTTTTAATGAAGTAGCAGAAATAGATTATCCAATCCATGAGAACAACAAATTTTCCAATTATCAGCATAGAATAGTGATATCATTAATAAAAAAAATAATATAGAATCTTGAAGGATGCCTGATTTATACCAAAGGCGCTTCTAGAAAAAGTTACTGGAGCTTATCACCTTTAAAGAATCTGATATCTAGTTACATACAACCCGTACACTACCATATCCATTAATAGACTTGTAATTCACTATGGGGAATGGTATGGTATCAAATGCTTTGGTCTAGGTTGACAACTGATTCTTCTTCTTCTAACATCTCACACCATTACTGGTTAGGCTGGCTCCAACGCCTACAAGGGTAAGACGCTTCCAAGCGGTCTGATGCCATCGTCGACAATAATAGAAGCAACTCCTTTTTCCATCGTCTAAACCCATATATTGCTGGTCCATATATATATTCAAAATCTTTTCTGACCAGTATCAGTTTTCCATCATACGTTTTAGTAAGAAAATGCGTCAACTCCTATTATGGATGTCGGATGACGTGCCCTAACCAGCAAAGGTGACGCTTTGTATTTAAAACCAGCAAAGGTGCTTAGTATTTAATACCACAACATTATTAATATAGGTGGTATATGAGCATTGATGGATACAATCATGGATACAATCATGCGATTTTATCCGTTCGACGGCAAAACGTATCTTAATAATATAGATAAGAATGCTCAAAGGCAGGCAATTTCTTATCACTGGCTATGTCTCATAGCCATATAGGAAGATCGAACGAATCACGACTATATAGATGCGAATTTTCGTTTTTATGGTTTACGGCTCCATAAAGGTTTCGTCAAACGGAAGAATGCATTTTTAGCTGCATTTTTAGTGATCCGAGTTGTAATATCTTTTGCGGAGCCATTCGGTAATAGAGTGGATCCAAGGTATTTAAAATCGAGCACTTACTCAACCGGCAGCATTTTATCAGTCTCTTGCACAAAAGATGAAAAAGCTTTCGTTTTATTTACATTTACATTGACTTTGAGTACAATTTTCGCTGCAGTTGTTGACACATTGTTTAATATTATTTGCATTTCGTCATAACAAAAATGATTACATCATCAGCGTATTCAAGATCTATGATATACGATGCTCTGCACTGATTTGGATACCTCTTGAGTGCCAACAAGTAATGCCCATTATCCAGTTTATCGCATAGTTAAATATTTCAAGGGAAAGGACGCAATCCTGATGGTCACCAGTTCTTATTTCTTATTTCAAAGGACTTAGTTCCCCCATATACACATATAAATCTGCGCCTACGTACGCTCATAAAATGCCTTTATGAGTCGAATGATCTTCTCTGGAACACGTCGAGTTCTATCACTCTCCAAGCCCTAGCGTGAAAGTAGCTAACTTTCAGAAACATTTCTTTAGTTTGGACCAGTATTCTTTTGCCATTCCAGACAAGTCATTGATATTTGCATTTTTGAGATGCTTCAATAATTCAGTTGGAAATGCGCTCACTATCCCCGAATTCTTTAGTTTGAGATAGTTGAAGGATCTTGGGGGATGCTTTTTTCTGCGAGTTGTTAATTTTATGCGGATCTTGGCTCTAACCATAACATGGTCAGATCCGTGAAGATTTTTCAGTTCCGCGATAGGAACGACTATTTAGTACGGAACTCTTCCAATGGCAACTGATTAAGACATAATCAATCTGGTTGAAGTATTGGTTATCCGGAGAGTTCCACGTGACTAGATATTTTCTAGATACGATGCCGGAAACAAGAAAAAGTTTATGCTCTTAGGCATAACGAAGAAGTTCCTCATTGGCGCACCGCACTGGTCTCCCATGCCATATTTGCCAATTGTATGGTCATCGCAGAGGTATTATGACGCGTGTATCCCAGTCTCTTCCGATTATGACCATTTCGATAGAGGCTTTGTTAGTAGTTGAAGTTCCGCATAGAACTTATCTTTATCACGATCATCTGCCTATAAAGTTGGAGCAAAGACACCGATGACCGAGATATTGCAGAACTTACCCTTAAAATGGACATAGACCATACGGTCGTTTACCGGTTTCCACTCAATCAAAGCGGAATGGGCCAGATTTGACAATCGCTACGCCATTTCGCCCCGAGTTATACGAAGCACCACAGTGATATAGCCAGTACTTCTGCTCCGAACCAGGATTAGTAATCACTCGAGAGCCGAAGTGAGGAAGACGGACCTCCGACAAATAGGTGATATCCACACGACATTTAGAAAGGGTGTGGACAATGATCGCTTGGCTTGCAAAGTCAATAAGCATTCTAACGTTCCACGCTGATACGGCTAATACCTCACCGTGCGTGCAGAGAACTGTTCCCCTTGACAGGTTTTGAGCAATTACCCTGGCTTGTGAACACATTTTATTTATCAGCCTTGGGACGCTTTACGCCCGATTTATATACTTATCGCATGTACTACTGGGCTGGGAGTGTTGGAGAATTATCAAGAATATTTGAGCCTTTCACCATAGAGTCGCTTAAGGATAGAGGTGAGTCCCCAGCAACCACTAGCATTTTTGATATGATGGGTTTATTCCTGTCAAAGACAAACAATTATTTTATATAATATTATTATAAATTTTGTTATATATATATATATATATGTAATTTTAATTCTTTATTTTCTAAATTTAGAAAAAATTTTAAAAGGCTTAAAATTTTACAAAAAACCTGGGTCATAGCTCACCAAAAAATATTCCGATAATAACAACAGTAGAATAGAAATAAAATTGCTCAAGATCAAAGATATCACATTGAATAATATCACTGATGACGACTGAACACTATTTTTCTATTATCAACTGTACTTATATGTTCGCTTAAAGGTCTCCATATATGAATTGAAATGTGAAATAATTTTTAGGCATAGATTTTTCATGTTTTAAGCGTTTTCATCATAGCTAGAAATTCGTTTTGTTTGAAATTATTCATATTATTTCATTATTTTTTTTTGAGATAATATTTCTCTCATTGATTAGAATAAAACGATTCCTATGATCAAAATTCTTTTGATTTTTCAAATATTCCATTCCAATATTAATTATTCCAAATAATTTTTTTTATTTTAATTATTTTGAAACAAAACAAAACACACGCGATATTTTTAATATGAATTTCTATTTTATTACAGATAAATATACTGGCCAATCAACCAGATATCGTAGTAGTAATCAAGGATTAGAAATCAGCACTGGATAGATATAGTAATTCCAAGTGACAGGGGAGTTAGGAAAAAGGATTATGAGAAGTACAAAAATACCAGAGGCTGAAAGGGAAACTAATGGAAATTAATGATGACCAAAGTAATCCCAATGATAATTGGAGCACTTGGAAATGTGATCCGTAAATTAGAAAAGTGGCTTCTAGAGGATTTGAGGTCGAAGATCCTTGCCATCTAAAGTGAGAAAGGGATTTTTTTAGCATTCATTTTCTTCTACTTTCAAGATCTTACTGATTTATATTTATTTGAAAAAATAGCCAAGCAATGCAAATAAGCTATAGTTATTGAATAGAAATTGTTGTTTCCATAATAATGAATTATGAATAAAAATAATGAATTTTTCAGCCATGAAATTAGCAAATGAAATTGAAAAAGATTTCGAAACAAAATTTTTTGTGCAAAAATTTTTCATGTAAAATGAAATTTATTTTAATTTTTAACCCTGTTTTATTTTATACTTTTAGAAGAAAAATTACTGATGATAAGTGGAACAATTTTCTTGTGGTTGCAACCATTTATTTGTGATTGCTAACGCTTCGGGATTATTGTTTGCCTTTTTGCTTTAGTAATAAACTTAATAAGTAGTATTAATAAATTATTTTCAGATAAAAATAGATGGACATATTATTGAAAAATATAATGAATTCCAAATTACTCAAAAAAATATTGAAAAATTATTTTATTTCGTTGACCAAACTTATTTTGCTGTATCAAAACGAAAGGTTGGATTTGCTCCAAGTTTTATAAAAATCTTTAGATTCTGCAATATTTAAAGTTTTTATAAATTATATAAATTAAAATATTAATATTCCCGATACTAACGGTGGTTATAATTTTAATTGTATTGTCTGATAAGGTCATCAAAAAAGTTATTTAATTATTAACGAAAAAATCTTGAGGCGATCGAAAAGATTTTTAAAATCTATCTGAATTTTTCTTCAAAATTTTTTAGCTTTTGCAAAATTTATAAATTTTTTAAAAATTTTTCTGTAAAAATTTAATGTATATTATAAAATAAAATGTATATTACGAATGTATATGTATATGTTATATTACGAAAATCGCTTTTCATATCTTTTAAAATATAGACTAATTGCAATTTTGTTGATGATTAATAATTATTTTCACACGATGAATTTATAGTTAACGCTTTTGCTTATAACTAATTTACGATTGAATAAGAAAATGAAAAGAAGGGATATTTTGGGAATCATTTTACGAATAGATTAATATGAAAGTTTAAAGATTTTTATCGCATTTATTTAATTTAATCCCATGTATTTTCATGCTGTTAATAATGAGAAAATAACAAGATTCTTACCACTTCGACTACATAGCTCCTGCGACTGTTGATGCTGCTCGGAATTTTTTCCAGGGAATAGAAATAAAATTGAATTTCCAGCACTACCTGGACTTTTTAATGGTAGACTTTCTGTCGGGGGCATATGCCGGACTTTTGCTTCTGAGCACTATTATCACTACTATCCAGTCTACTATTCTTTTTATTGTTTATTATATAGTAAAACAATGATATAGTAAAACTAGATGGTAAATAATAGACAAACTAATATATTTATAAGAATTTGTAAGAATTTTTGTCCATCATTACTATTCCATATATATATATATATATATAAATCTGTCATTCAAAAACCGGGAAGTACCTTTTTTCGATCCTTTAATTTTAATATCTGCAATATTTAAGATTTCATTCTCGATAAATTGCTTATGTGTAAATAAAGTAAAAAATTTGGTCACTGAATGTATAGGATTGGAATTTAATAGAATTTTAAGCTAGATATTGGCACTTAAATTAAAAATATCTTACAGAAAATACGTTAGAACAGAGTGATTGGTCTAAAAAATCAACTTGAGAATCTTGTATTGTCCTCAACATCTGTCTTATTTTAACTAATTAATTCAATCGCAGAGAAATTAATTGGTCAAAGCTAACCGCTACTCTTTTATATGGGATTCACAATTTGTTAAAATTTTAATTTTCTTCTGTTTATTTTACCAATAATGTAGCAAAACTAGATGATGAATAATAGATAAATTAATGTATTTATAAGAATTTATAAGACCTTTTAATTCAAATTTCAATTCGAACTTGAATATTTCAGTTGCCTTATAAATAAATATATAAAAAGAATGAGCGAAAATTGTGTTTTACAAGCGCTTGCGAATTTAGTCAACGGCACTAACAATTAAAACCCTTTGAAATCGCGCATTTTGCATTTTTATATTTTGATTATTAGTATTTTAGTTAAGTTTTGATCGGCTATTTAGATTATTATTTAGATTTTACTTATGGGTTTCGCAAAAATTTCTTTATAAATTTCTTGTTTTTCAATAGTGACAAAAATATTTTTAAAAATTTTTTGTCTTTTATCAGTGGTATTGTAAGAAATATTTCAACAATTCGTGAAATCTCTGATTGATTTATTCCTATAATTTCCTAATGCAAAATCATTACGACAGGATTTTTATATTATACTAATTAGTTCTTTTCTTTATTTTGAGGAGATAAAGATTATTAAAGCATTAAAGCATTTGTTTAGAATCCCCTCAAATCCATTACTGTATTTATAAGCTGTTGTATTCTAAAAACACGAAAATATTTCATCATAGAATAGAATTATGGTATTAAGATATTCAGACATTCAGGCAACAGATTCGATTGCTAAAAAGTTGAATTTTTCAGCTATATAAACTTTCACTGAGCAACTGTGAATCGTTTTCATCATGTTTTGAATGTATTTCAAGTTATGATCCTTTATGTGGTTGGTGTTTGTTGGAAGGTAAATGTATACGTCGTAATTCATGTCAGTCTGATTCTATCGTTAATATTTGTCCATTATACAACTTATCAACGATTCCTTCGAATATATCTGTGGATGATTCACAAACAAAAATATTTCTTCCGCTTGGTGATTTCAGTCAATTCGAAGAAAATGTTGGTTTTTAATTATTTATAATTTGATGCTAAATTGAGTTCTGCAACTATAATGCATCTTTTAAAGGGAATTTTTTTTCTCAAATTATTCAAATTATTATAAATTAGAGATTTAGCTTTACTTTTAACGAATGGGACGACTGGCTTGTGAATGATAACCCTTAGTTTTCAATTCTGCTACTAACTATACTTTATGGAGAATCCGATTTAAGCTAAGATCAAAAGCACTCCGCCTAGATTCTTGCCTTAGACAAGAGCAGATTTGTCATTAAAAAACCCAGACGTTGATGGGGTTACTTCTATCTCCCCCAAGTGACGCTCTGAGTCGGCTAATAGCCATTGAATTGAACCGATAAAGATGGTATGCTTATCCGCTATTTAGCGTAATTATTCAAGTTATTTCTCATCCATCCGCTATTCTGATTAAAAATTTTCATATTCTGATTTAAAAAAAAGTAAAAATCGTGCAAAAATAAATTCATTCTGTTCTTGCTTTATTATTTATAATGCAGATTATTTCAAATTCGTCATTCTCAAAAAACAGAAAAACTTTAAATGGTAATGGAATTATCAGTTTGTAAGAGAATCAAAAAATTAATTAAACCGATTAATTAAAAGTAATTTCCATCGTATGATAATTGGAAATTTCCAATTACCGCAAAATTTTTCTCTTTAATAAAATGGAATTCCTAAATTATAATGGAAGAATACATTATTTAGTCTTTAAATTAGAAATTCAAAAAAAAGGAAAATAAAAACTAAATTCGGAATATATTAATAAATTGATGATTAAATTTTATTTTATTTTGTGTTATCGTTGTTAGCGTTTTTGTTGTGAAAATTTCGATGGTTTTAAAGAAAGCTTTATTTATCTTTTAAGAATTGGATTTAGAAAAAGACCACTTAAATCATTCTTTGCTGACTCAAAAATGCACAAATAAAGCATTTGCATCCATTAGCATTAACTTGTGATTTAGGAATTTATTTGCAAGTATGACGAAGAAATTTCAAGTGGGCAGTGGTCAGATACAGGAATCATCTGTGCAACACCGAAAAATCAATTAAAGATTCCATCGGATAGCTTAATTGTGGATATTAATGTATTTTATTCCACCTATAATAGTCCGGTGATAAGCAAGAATATTATTTTTTATAACTGCTCCTCGTTTTCAGTGTTAGTTTCACGGATTAATAATTTTTCAATAATTTAATAATTTAATTTTAATAAATTTTAGCCAAAAAATTTTCAAAACTTATACATTCGAATTTCATCATTGAATAATTTTATTCGCAAATATTCACTTCATTTGTTTTTAAAAGCAAATGTTCAAGTAATAAAAGTTCAATCAAATGGTTTACCATTTCTTGGTTTACGTTAAACTAGCTCAGCTGCCTGCTAGTGTTAAAAATTTTTGTTATGGTTTCACTTATCCAAAAGTAAAATTAGATCGCCAGCACCACTCGAATTTTTAAACGATGTGCTTATTGCTGTTGAGAAGCCAAATGTTATTTGATATCGACTATCCTATTCTTAATAACGAAAATTAAACACTTTTAAAGATTTATCATTGTTCTTTGTCAAATAGTAAAATTTTTAGTAAAAAAATCCTTTCACAAAAATCAGTGAAGAATATAATGATTAATATAATATTAATTAATAATATAATATAATAATTTATGGATATAAGCAATTTAGCTGTTCGCATTGTTTATCATCAAAATGGAGTTGTCGATGGTGTTCAAAAGATAAAAGATGTATTCCGAATAAGAATTCTTGCTCCAATGTAAAATTTTTTATTAATTTTTTTGCTACATATATTCATTGTTTGAACTGTTTAATTCAAAATTCGTAATGAGATCAAGCCGTGATAGATATGATTATATTAAGTTCTCACTTCAAAAAAGCTCCCCTAAAATATTCCTTTTGCGATGACCACTTTTCCTTTGCCTAGCCTCATTGACTACTGGATTGAAGACTTTGCACCAGAGTGTCTGCTGAGGAAAAAAAGTGGATTGGCCTACAACGATTTTACCTTATTCCATTAAGTCACATATGAACACATTGATCACAGTTGATCACAATTGAAGCAACAAGCTCAATCATGTTCTAGATAATTTGATTATGATAATTTCATATCTATATCTAAATCCAACGGAACATAAATTTTATTATTTTAATATAATTATTTAGTAATTAGGGTAAAAAAAGTCTTAATAATGAAATAAAACCAAGAATTCGCAAATATATATTATTTTATATCTGCAGGAATCAGCGAACAATGAATGCTTACGAATAGATACAGCCTCAAAAAATATCATAATGCCAGAAGGCAGTAATTATACAATTATACTCCCTGTTGTTAACGCCGACAATGAAATCGCAACTAACCAAAATCTCTATTGTAAGATTAATATCGACGAAAATGTGCAAAAAATATCAGCAAGCTTGATTAATGACAAAATTTTTTGTAATTCAAGGGTGTTTTCCTCTGAAAGTAGAAAAGCTTCAACAAATGTGAAGATTGAACTCATTATTGATGATTCTCTTGTCGATGTTACCACTGGTAAATTTTTTTTTAAATAGCAGTATCGATATTTTATATAAGAATATTAATATTACAAGCAATATTGCAACAAATAATTATTGTGTTTTTATAATATTGCAATTTTAATAGTTATAATATTATAATTGTAAAAAATCTCTCATTCTCTGCCAGAGGCCTTGGAGATTGAGGGTTTCGTTTCCTAGCTAGTAGTGCACTTTTCTGAACAGGTTCCTGGAATCTTGTGGAGCAATTTGGGAGTCACAATTACAAGTGCTTCAATTATCACTAGAATTACTTTGACCTTTACTTATCTTCTGTTTTAGCCATTGGTATTTGTCCAATATATTTCTTTTTCCTAACATTCCACTCACTTGCTATTGGTATATCTATCACCAGTGCCGATTCTTGTCTACCATCGCAATATCTGATTGATTGGCCAATACTTGTTTGCCTGTTTGTATGGAGAAGTATGGAGAATTCGCAGAGGATTTTTGCTTCATTATTCTCCACGCTTTTCTGGGGAATCTCCCGCCTAATCTTGGGAGGATCTAAGCAATCATATATTGAGCAGATATTTCTGTAGATAATGCCAGCTATTTGATTATGCCTTTCAGCGTTCTTTTTTTCCTTTGATAAAGTAAAGTTTATTGCATTGTATGATAGTAACGATTCTGCTTTCCCTCTGAGCGCGATGTGTATCGTTTCTTAGCGATAGTAAAAAACTTTTTGCTTTCAAATCGTCGAATCATCGACGAGTTCCAACTGAATCGCAAGGCAAGTAAATAAAGCGATCCAATTTTTTATCTTGAAACCATCTTGTTTTATCCAAATCCACCAAGTCCACTCCGATATGTGAAAAAGGAGCAAAAAGGAGGAGGAGTGATTAAAAGGAACTCCGATTTATTCCTATTTATGGAAATTCGTTCATCGTTGGTAATTCAAATTGTTTAGTTCTCCATCTTTTAAAATATATGCACTCATTGTTGATAAATTCTTCCAATAGTTTGAGTGCAGTGTTTGAGTTCGATTATGGAGCAAACTGTTGTGCCAATCGATGCATGTAACAATTGTTGGTGTTTATCCACAACAATTAATTTATTTATCAAAATTTATCAATTTATAATTTATCAAAAAATTAATTTGGTTAATAGATGACTTCTAGTTTAAGAAGATCAGTGGTTGATTCTTCCTTTTATCGCCCATAAATCATTTTTAATTGTTAGACCAAATTTATGGATATCTTCCTCCTTTACATCCTCTCTTTGAGCTTGTTTTATTAAGATCTCTTCCTGTTCTACTTCTTGTGCATTTATTGGACAGTTAAATTTTTCTTATTGCAATAAGCTTGAATTCTCTTACTGACTAGGTTGAAAAAACTTAATACACCATTACCAGTACACCATTACCAGTCTTCTAAGATTACTGAATCTTTCATAATCTAGTAATAGCTTGTAATTTTGGTACCATTTTGGACATCATGACCACACATGTGTTCGTTTATAATTCACCGCCATCTAGTTTATTCTCTCCTGGATGGTTGCAGAAAGTCGCTTTCTTACGACCGAGTGATTTGCCATAGTTGTTTGGTAATTTTGATCGCGTTGATAAATTGACTCGTTATCACCTTTCTTCGGTTATTTCCACATTGTCAGCAAATTGTTGTATAGCTAAATCATTCATTGTTTCGTTGCTCGGTCTTCGATCCACATTCGTTCTAGTGACCAGAACTCGTTCGTTATGAGGTAAATAATTGCTGTATATGATGGTAGAAGGTGATTTATTGAACTAGTTGAATTCCAAAACGGATAAAAAATTGCCGACCTTCCTGTAATATAAATTAAAATCGGAAGTCAGTCGTTTCGCGTCCAATATCTAATTTTTCGAGAAAATCGATACCAATGATTATCTGTGGTTTTTCAGATACGATTGTTACCGAAATCTTCTTGCTTAAATTCAGTTATTTGTATGATAATTTCGCAATTTTCACTCGTTAAATCGACTGTATTAACTTTTTTATCGTATATATATCTAATTGGTTCATTCGTTTCCGTTCTTATTTCGAAATTTACTTGATAGTGAAATATCGAATTGAATTAGGATTTCCAAACGTATATTTATCATCATCGTTTCTCTTTTGTAACTGGTCAAACTGAGTTTATTTGCAAGAGATTCGGTTATATAAGAATGTTATGCTTATGAGTGTCAAACAATATTGTTTTTATACACTGGGAACGTGGATCATCTGGATTTCGAATTTTGGAACCTCGCAACATATCAATAATGATATTTATTCTCTATGTTGTTCGTTTTGGTTATACAGTTCATGACTGTATATTGTAGTTGAGAAGTAATCCGATCCTTACAAAACGCTGATAAGTACTACTTTTGCAATAAAAACTTTGCTTTATAATTGCAATCTTTTGCTATGTGCTTATCGTTCAAACATTTGAAACATAATCCATCCTTTTTTGCTATTTGTTGTGATCCTGCCTTGATAAATTTTTACAGTTTCACAGGCATCACTCCAGTGCTTATCTTTACAGAACGTACATGCTCCATGCTTTTGGACTCGTTATGGAATAGGCTGATATGTGACGTTTGTCTCTATTGTCCTTTGGTTTCGGTTGATCGATCTTTCATTTCATTTCAAATTTTTCTAATTCAAATTTCTTTGATTTTTCTTGATTTGTCGATTGTGTGTTGTCATTATTTCCCTTTTCAATAACATTTTACCCAACAAGTCTCGCAATTTCCAGTCGTTATGATCGTTGTATAGTTTGCTGTTCTACCTGGCTGTAGATTTGGTGGAGTAATTCATTTTCAACTAGCACCAATAGTGTTTCTGACTCCACGTTATAACTGGCACTTTCTAATTGAGACAATATCGATAGGATTTGTCTCAATATTTCGTAATCGTCTTTCGCACTTTGTCTAATACTCGATAGCCTTTTTATTAATGCATGATGCCGGTTTTCTCGCCATCTATAATGGCCTTCTAGCAGTTACGCAAATTGTTCGATCATTAATTTTGCCTTCCCTTTCAATTGACCTATAAGATAGCAAAACTTTCGGTCTTTAGTAGTCAATAGTCCATCGATCGGAATGACGATATAAATTGTTCACATTTTAGTATCTCCATCAAACTCGCATAGTGATATCAGTGGCAAATGGGATATTGATGTAATCATTTCGTTTTTTCCAGCAGATTTGCTTTCTAATTTCTTCTCGCCTTCCAATTCTTGAAATTGTACCTTTAACTGCATTTCCATTATCAACCTGGTCTTCTACCTACTTGCCTCACTAATTGATTCTTAGACAGATGGATCGTCAAAAAATTTTTCATATACTTTTTCCCCTTTTGAATTCCCAGCTAGTACTGCAAACCACTGTTTGTCGAGGTCGTTGAGTTGATTCAAGCTTAACTCTATCATTGATTTGTCTTCTCGTACTCCTTTCAAATTCTATTCTTTTGATACGTTTCTTTAAATTGAATTCTTATTATTTTATCATACTTCCGATCATTTCGTGCGCTTTATGACCCTTTCCAACTTTATGACCACATTTTCGTGTAAAACTGTTAGTATTTCTTGGATCTGGAATTTGATCATAGACATTTTCCCAAGCTTGACAATTTTTTAATAAAGTGTCGCGCAGTCATTTAAGAATATAATAAAAACAAAAATGTGAAATAGCGAAAATCTTTTTAATCAAATTCGTTGTCTTCGTTATTCGTTATCGGCTGAGCCTCCATGTAGCAAAAAAAGATTTTATTATTCTCTTATTGATTGTCTTGTATCAGTTCCTTTTTCGTTATAATATCATAATTATCGACGTATACCTCAAAGTTGGGTAATTAAACCTTTTATTTTAAATCTATACAATATAGAACATCATTAATCACACAATAGTAAAAACCACAAAAGAAAACTAAAATCAAAATATAACGGCCATCCTTTAGTTGATATTTGTCGTTAATCCTCCAGGATTCAAATTCTTGACCTTATTATTTGAAGATCACCTCTGTGAACTTTGCTTCATTAGTTTGATAAGCTGCTGAATCATGTTTTGCTCATTTTTGAGCACAATCATTTTTGGTTTAGATATATATATATATATATACATATCGTTTTTTGAGCCTTATTTATTTATTTTAACAAAAAACCAAACACAAAAGAAAGCCATCTGCTAGTTTTAGGAACAACTAACAAGTAAAATCAACTTAAAAATGAAAACACAATTCAGTCCCATATAGCACAGTTATTGTAATAAATATTACTCTTAGTTTCGTTTTTGTACAATATTTATTTAATGAATTAAATTATTTTTTATAATATTATGGCTGGCCATCATTCTGCGAAAATTTTAAGATAGAAAATTCGTTCTAACCGTTAATAAGTGAATATTGCCTTTCGTATATGGTGAGAAATTTATTATTTTAGAACGAATTTTAACCTGTTTTATTGAATTATTTTCCTTTTTCTTTGTTAAACACTGATAAATCAAGAATTTTGCATATTTCAGCAACATTATATAGCTGCCAATTAATGGCATCAGACTGTTCTACTTGCTTTGCTTTGGACCCACAGTGGAAATGTTCGTGGTGTGAAAGCAACTGTAAATTTCTAACTGAATGCCCATCACCACAGATTGTACAGTCACCTGATTTCTTATGCAGTCGTCCTATTATTGAATCGGTTTTTTTCATGAAATTTTTTAGTCTAATGTATTGCAAGAATTTTTTATTTTTTATTTTCTTAAATTTTCTTTTTTCAGTTTAAACCACAAGTTGGGCCTAAAGAAGGTGGAACTGTAATTGAAATTCGTGGGAAAGAATTAGGGTCTTCATTAAGCGATGTGAAAGATCGAGTATTTGTTGGTAGTCATAGGTGTGCTGTAATTAATTATGAAATTTCAACCAAGTAAGACCATTAGTATTTTTTTATTGGAAAATCCACATTATAAAATCCACATCAGATTATAAAAGATTATAAAAGAAGTTTCATTTCTGCTCACGGAGCGTTTATCTATCTTATTCCTCACAGAATTTATTAATTCATGAAGGATGCAGAAAAAAAAATTATATTTTATTACTTTTTTTCCATTTTCCTAAAACAAATTCTTCTGAATAAATTGTCAAAACGCGAATTTGTCAATAATCTCGTTATGTCTAATATAATCTTGCAGGATTGACTGTAAAGTTGAATCTGGACAAGGTTCTGGGGCGATTCGATTGCGCCTTGGTCAGTCGGGTCGTCGATTTGTTGATTCCCAATCTCTTTATCAATTTGTTGATCCACAACCAAAGTCCATCCATCCCCTATTTGGTCCTATGTCTGGCGGCACCAAACTAACTATTTATGGGTCTAACCTACACATTGGATCTAATGTGTCGGTATTCATTGGTGCATATAGATGTGAGATTTCCCCTGAGGTAATTTTTTAGAATAATATGCATTCCAAGCCATTTTTCAAGAAATGTAATTTTTCGGACATTATTTTGCTACAGTAATTTCTTATATTTTTAAATTTATTAAATATAATAATATATTTTAATCCAATTCTGCTTCTTCCAATTCTTCATCCACCTTTATTTCTCTTTATTTCTCTTTATTTCTTATGTCTTCACATAGCTTTAACTCTTTTCTCTGATCGAACATATGATATTTTAATTGTCCTTCGATCCTCTCGTCCCTATCCATTTAATATAAATAGTCAAAAACTTCAATATATTCCTAGTTAAAATTGGTTGGGACTGACTATTCTTCTTTAGAATAATTATGATTCTGCAATAATGTGCCGTACTAGCCGATCGAATGAACCAAGATTTGCTGGACCTATTCGAATAGAGATTGACAAAAGTATACGAATTCTTGAAAGAAGCTTTGAATATCGGCATGATCCGGTTATAAAAATTCTACATCCTACAATGAGTTATGAGAGTGGTGGCAGAAATTTTTCAGTTATGGTAGTGGTTAACATTTTTTATATCATCAGAAATAACTGAATTGTGATCATTTTCAGAAACCGTTGAATATTTTCTTTCAGGGTAATTATTTGGATTCCGTTTTAAATCCGAAAATCTTTTTTTTATCAACATCCGATACCGAAGAAATATTATCAGAAATGGGCAGATGTCATGTTCAAAATGCGACTCTCATGTTTTGCGTAACACCTAGAATCATTTTGCCACCTAATATATCACCATTAACTTATAGTCGATGGCCAGTCGGTTTTCTTATGGATGGTGTGAAATCAGTGCGTAATCTACGAGAAAGAATCCAGGTTACAATAGTACCTGATCCGCAATTTGAGCCACTGAAAGGAATAAAATTGCATGTGCCTGGACAACTTTTCACTGTTAATGGAAATCATTTGTCACATGCCGCAACTGCTGATGAATATTTTGTAAGTTTTTCATCATTACTTATAAATATTTCGCCTTATAAATCAATCAAGAATTAATAAAAGATCGTTTAGATTTATATTGGCACGTCTCGTTGTACTGTGGTTCTAATTGATAATCAGCAAATAATGTGTCGAGCTCCAGAACATGAACCGTTAGCCACAGATGCAAAAGGAAGTGAAATTGAAGGTGGACATCCCATGCTAACTATTATTATTGGATCACTGAAGTTCGAACTCGGCTTGGTTGAGTACGAAACCATTGGTGTACGGTATGTTATTTTGTATGGCCTACTTTTTATTTAATAATTTTTTATTTCAATTTATGATTAATAGTTAATTAATAATTTAAATTTATTTGATATCCTTTGCCGAAGATATTTTAAATATTCCTGAACAATAAATAAATAAAAATAAAGTCAATAATTTTTTAAATTTTTTGTTTAGGATGCCATTAAGGTTGCTATTAACAATAATATTTGTTTTAATAGCGACATGCTTTTTAACTGGTGTTATATTATGCTTTATCTATTCAAAAAAAAGAAATGAACGAGAAAAAGAATATAAAAAAATTCAACTCAAAATGGAACATTTGGAATTTAACGTTCGAAATGAATGTAAGCAGGTAAAGTACAATTTCTTTCAAATATGCTTAAGATAGAATTAAGTGAATTTAAATATATTTGATATTAATTTAAAAATGTTGCTGAGTTTTTTGAGATAATTTTCGCAAAATTTTAAAAGTATTTTATTGGATGAATGAATAAGTTTCATAAAAATTTAAGAAGTAAAGAAATTTTAAAATTATTTATTCAAAATTTAAAAATATTCAGAATTAATTTTTAATTTGTTTTCCCAGCATATAATTTTGCTATAATTTTAGAATTTAGAATTTTCTCTTATTTTCGCTTTAATTTATCTTATAAAAGAACATTCAATTTTTAAGGAATTTTTCATTTTCTTTGATAGATTTGAAAAAAAAATTTTATTATGCAGGCATTTGCTGAACTGCAAACTGACGTCTCAGATGCAATGACAATCGACGGTGATTGGATTCCATTTCAAGAGCAAACCGTATTCATTTCTCATTTACTGCACCACAACATAACACTTTCTCGAAGCGTTCTTATTTCAGCTCATCATACTCCTTCGTAATTTTTTCTACTGAATTTCACTTCTTCAATTTATTATATATATAAAAATAAAGAAAATTAAAAAAAGTTAGTCTTAATAAAAACTCCGAGATCAGTGCCATTTTCAAAGGGGTCAACCAATTACTTTTTATGAATGATAACGATAAAAATATTTACTGATGCAAATCTGTGAGAATAAATACAAAAAGATATTAAGATCACAATTGAGAATTATTTGAGAATTAATTGAGAATTGAGAATTAATTTAATATTGATTTAATTAATTTAATTTAATTTAATATTTCAATTTTTTCTATAAAACCTCCATAGAATTTTTTTCAACGATTTATCATGGCTTTTTCTTCTAACAGTTGGTACCATCATTGACAGGCTGACCAAACCTGCTGATTTCTGCATCGTATTTGGAATTTTGATGAAGAGAATTTTTTTCAGTGATATGTTCGAAGCGATGCGAGGTTTTGATTCATTATTATCAAATAAAAGATTTTTATTTTTATTGATACAATCTATTGAAAATAATCCAATATGCTCATTAAATGAACGTTCATATTTTTCATCGCTTATTATCACATCCTTAATGAATGATATATCATATTGCACAGAAGTTGTATTTTTGCTGTTAAATCATCACATGAATAAATGCATACGGGTTAGTTTTTAGTTTTTACTCCATTTACATTCCAAATCATTGCGGAAATTTCTGAATATAACAATTAGAAACAAACTCGAATCATATGAAATGAGAATTAACCTTGTTAAAAGTTTTCGAATGAAACAGTGCTAAAAAATAATTACGTTCTTCTTTTATTTTATTTTATTTTTTTAAAATTTGTTTCATGTCAACTTTTTGTAGCAAAAGTCTAATAATTTAATGATTAGGAAAATAAGCATAAATTATGGCAATTATGTTAGGAAATTGTCATTAACATTTGCTTAATAATATTGGAAATGAGTATATAGAAATTTTTTTAGAAATTTTTGCATTTTTTAATATAAAAATATTGGTTATTAACTTTTCGTCTCATCTCATTTACATTCTTTAACTCTAAATTATGTAATTCAGAATCGCAATGCACAACTAATATTTCGACAAAGTAGTTCGGTAGTGGAAAAAATTTTCGCTTATTGGTTTTCAATTTGCTTATTCGATAGTATGAAATCGGATTTAGGCCAAAATCTTTATCTTCTTTATAAGGCCTTAAAATATCAAATAGAAAAGGGTCCGATTGATGCAATCAATGGAAATGCTCGATATTCACTTAATGAACAGAAATTACTGCGAGAGCCTATTGATGCTGCTACATTGGTTAGAAACAAATTCGAATCATATGAAATGAGAATTAAAAATTTTGCATTAAAATTATTTTCCTTGATTTTTTCGCGAACATTGAATAATTAATATATTTAGCATTTGCTTGTAATTCCACTGGATGGTTTTAATAAATCGCCGATATTAATTCGAGTTCTCACTTGTGACACGATTAGTCAAGTCAAAATGAAATTGTTGGATATTTTATTTAAAAATGAGCCGTTTTCTTCGAGAATGACCATTGAACAATTCGATCTTGGTTAGTGGCTTAAATGGGGCTCAGCCTTATTCATCTATTGATTTTTCCTATGTCACCATTGGTTTGGTTGGCTATGTTGGTTACAGGGATGCAGCTCTTTTGCCAAAAAGTCATTTGCAGATAGGTTTTCCACCATCCAATATTCATGCGCTTAATCATTAATATAATATTTAGCGTTATATTGTAGAAATGATTTTTGATTGGTTATTTCTATCAGGAAATCGAATTTTTTCTTTCATAATGAATATTAAATAATTCTTGATTTATCTCTCTTATAAATCCTATAAAAGAATTTTGAATAATTCACCTAATCTGCCACAGTAAAACAGCTTTAACTTGATATAAATATTAATAAATATTGTTTTTTTATTAAAAAGTCTAAGAAAAAAAAATGGATTTTGTTAATGAAGATTATTGTGGATTTTTGTAGGTTTTTCTAGAAAATAATTGGAATTTTTAGAATGGAATTGTCAGGATGGTCCAATTATATTGCACGACAAGGATCGATCTAAAACTAATGATCCGATTCGACTGAATCGAGTGTCTGATTACAATATCCCTAATAATTCTTTATTATCAATGCAGCCTAATTCATCTAATTTCCAAGAATATAATTGTAAAAATTTTGCTTTTGAATAATTTTTTATTAACGTTATATTATTATATTATATTATTTAATTCTTGCATTATTAATTACAATATCTAATATTTATTATTACTGTATATAAATATCAAGCACGATATTTACTTTCTACTCTCGATTTGGCTATTATACTTTATAATTTTTTTATATATTTTGAATAAATCGATTAATTAAAAAATTCGCATTAAGAAATTGTGCATTTTATATAGAACTAGGAATATTTTATACAGAACTATTAAATACTGCTTTAAAAATAAAAGTTTATTCGGTCGAAAATTACTGAAAAATTTGCTAAAAAATCGGACTTAGGCCAAAATTTTTATGTTATAAAGGTGCTATTTAATTTTAAAATAAATTTTGAAATAAATAGATGGATCGGTTACGAAGTCAGTTTCTGCTCACTCGGATGTTTATTATCATCTGGAAAAGCCTGGAAATTATAGCACACTTTATGCCAGTAAAATCGATTATGCGATTCCAAATTCTATACCAGAAATTTATTTAACTCGCCTATTGACAAGGTTATTTTAATTTTTGCTAGTGTTTTGCTAATTTAAAAAAGAAATTTTTAAGAAGTTACAGAAGTTTATTATTCGAGTTTTGATGATTTTCTTTTTCAGCAAAGGTACAATACAAAAATATTTGGATGATTTCTTCGATTCGTTACTTTATATGAATAGCAATAATTTTCCATTTGTTCTCAAATATGTGTTTGATTTTATGGATAACGTTGCCCAAAATAACAATGTTTGCTTTTTAATTTCGTTTTGTTTTTTTGAGCTCTAGTGATATTTCCTCTGCCAAGAAGCCATAAAATGGAAGATTCAATTCATTTAATTCATAATATTTTATTAGTGATGAGAAAAAAGGTAGGGTCCGAGAGAATATTATGTAAAAGGTGTTTTTAATGAATGTATGAAATATTAACATTAATTAAAAAGCAAACATAACTACGAAGTAGATAAAGATTATCATTGAGTTGAAGTTTAGTTTCAGTGATCGGGATTATGAAATTGCCTATTTTCCAGTAGCCGACTAGATTCCCTATTTCATTTTAAATTCTCCAGCCAGATTTGAGATATATCAAACTCTAAAATAACTTGCCGTTCCTAGAAATTTTGGAAGTAAGATCCATCTTGTAAAAGGTGTAAAGCGGAAAATTTCTTCTTTTACTACTACAACTACTACTTTTCTCTTAATATTCAAAGTTATTATACATTTCAAAACAATTTTTGTATTCCAACATTCATAATGTTTGTCACAATGAAAATTATTTCTTCATTTCTGGAAGATATCCGATTATCTTTTCATCATCAGCCCTTTTAGAATTAATTCGTTTTCCTCTTTTAACATCTCTCACCATTACTGGTTCCGCTGGCTACAAAGGTAAGACGTTCCCAAGCTGCTTGGTCCGACGCCATCGCTAGTAGTAATAGAAGCCATTCTTTTTTCCATCGTCTAAGTCCATATATTGCTGGTCCACCTATATTTTTCTTTCCTGACTGTATCAGTTCAGGTCTTGTGTTTCCTCTCGCTTTTGACGTCAACCAGCGCAAGATTTAACTAATAATATGCATCAAGTCCTGTGGTGGACGGAGAATGGCACTAACCAGCGAAGGCCATCGCTCTGTGATAATATTATTAATGCAAGTGGTATTTGAACGAAGATGGATGCGATCATGCGACATTTTATAAGTTCGATGGTCCCGTAAAATGTATCTTAGACAAGAGCGCTCAAAGGCATATAGCTTCTTCATCCACTCTCATTGGCCATGTTTCGCAGCCATATAGCACGATCGAGCGAATTGCAGCCATATGGACGCGGATTTTCGTCTTCATGGTGATTTCGCGATGGTTTCACGGATATTTCATCAACCGAAAAAATATTTTAGCTACCGTTATCCAAGTTGAAATTTCATCCTTTGTCCGACAATAGAGTAGATCCAAGACATTTAAAGTCGAGCATTAGCATTTCCTCCATTGTTTAACATTATTTGCATTTCATTATAACTATATCATCAGCATATTCAAGGTCCATGATGCTATGCTGTAGATTGATTTGCACATCCCTTGCGACGACAAGTGATGCTCATTATCTAATCTATCGCATAGTTGAATGTTTTAGGAGAAAAGACCTAACAGACACCAGTTCTTATTTCAAAGGAGTTTTTCAGTTACTCACACAAATATGCACAGATCACGGACCTTATATACTGATAAAATGCCTTTATGAGCCTAGTGATCTTCTCTAGGGCATCGTCACATTTCATCACCTTTCCAGAGCGCTACTCTATCAATCGAAGGCAGAATCGATAAAGCAAGTGGGTTACTGAAGCGATGTTTCAGCACCTTTCTTAGCATAAATATCTAGTTAGCGTTCCGGAATCCGACTTAGAATGCATTCTGCTATCTCGTGTTGCCATGAGTCTATTTAGCAAAAGAAAGCGTACACTTTGGATGGTTCTTTAGAGAACGAATCTCTAATGTCTCCTATGTCTTCTAAATTTTTTCAGAGTTGTCTAGAAGGCTGATTCTTCAATAATTGTCACAGTATGTCCAGTCAAATTTCTTAGAAATAGAATTGTTTTGTTCCAGTCATCTGGTATTATTCTTCCATAATAGAGAAAATATTTGTTGAAGGTGTGGTATGAAGAACGACAGATAACATTTGAAGAGTTTGGCCTAAAGACCATCTTCTCCAGCAGTTTTATTGCCTTCAAGCTTATGGATTATATAGATTATTTCCTCTCTTGTTGGCAATTCGCAATTGCAAACATATGGTGCGAAACTATTTTCAGAGCAACGGATGGCTCGTCGTGGTTAAGTTTGGCATCAAAGAATCCCTTTCATCTTTTGAGGCGATCCGTCATTGTCTTAAAGTAATTACTATCCCGTACCATTTTACTGGCCATTTCCCGAGTTATAGTTGAAGAAGTTTGAATAGCTTCTTATTATCGCCTAATTGAACAGCCCTCAAGCCCTCTCAATTTTCAAGGCCATATCACTCCAATACCGATTTCCCGCCATGCTACTGTCGTTGCAATTCTTCAAAGAAGCATCCGATAATTAGGATCCCTTAATTTTCTTGATTTTACTTAATTCAATTTATCAATATATTTCCATTATGAACTGCAACTGCCGTTATGAAAGCTTAAATTAAGTATGAGCTATTCCAAATGAACCACTACTTTAATTTCAACACATTAGTCGAGATTGTTTGATATCGCTATTGGAAATAAGTAAATAGCTGAAATTTTGAATCATGAAACATAATATGAAATATTCTTCCAAGATGTCTAAGTCATCTCTTAATATGAATTATATTTAGGAGATATGGTCTATAGCATTTTATCATTTTCTTCCTCTTCAATTATTCCTTAGCCTTAAGTTATTCCTTAGCCTTCGTGGGGGTAACAATTTTGTCTCCACAGAGAGAATTAGTTGTCCAACTATTTTAATCATATGTTTAGTCTTTATATAACTTAATATTATCATGATGAGATCTTGAGTTCTTCCACTATGAAGAGTTCTAAGCGAGCACAGCTTATCTTCTTGTGCTATTTTTAATTCTTTAGTCCACATAATTGGGTTCTTTCCAAAGCAAATTGGAAAACATAATAGCAAATTTCGTAACAAAGGCGTATAAAAAGTCGTATTTAGCGAAATAATCTGTTTACGAAGTTGTTTAATTGCATCTTTGAATTAATTGCGTTTATTATCATATAGGAAAATAGGTAAAATCGGAAAAAATATAAGTTCTAATATACATGATATAATATTGGAGCTCAATAGCAAAAAATTGATATATTTGATCCATAAAAATTATTAATTATAAAAGAATCTTTTCGAAAAATTACGAAAGGTAGAAAATTTAATTCCAATTTTTATAGTTAAACGATTCAAACATAATTCATTGTTGGAAAACGAATATTTGGATTCTTCGTTTTTGGGTCAACTTACTATCAAATGTTAATTTATTTTTGGATGTACAAAGAACGAATGCAATTGATGGTTCTTTAACAATTGTCGCACAAACTCTTGTAGATATATTTAGTGCATCAAATTGCAAATTAGGAAAGGCTAGAATTTTTATTCGAATGCAAAAAAATTAATTTAAACACTTACAGAATGAAAAATGAAAAATATTTACTTATATCATTCTCACGGCTTTCGGGAAAATAACAGAATGCCACTTGTAATGATCCATGAATTTCAGGAAAGCCCATCATCGAAATTACTATTTGCAAAAGATATCGAGAGATATCGCCCATCTGTTGCGTTATTCTTTCGGAAAGTACAAAAAGCAAAGGAAATTTCTTCACAACAATTTTTTGCAAACATCAGTTTTCTCGCTCAAGTTAATTTTTTAAATTTAATTTACTAACGTAAAGCAAGCTCCAAATTTTTTTCGGGTTATCAAGAAATTTAAAAAGTGTCAAAAAATGTAAGGAAAAATGAAAAATTCAAATACCAGCCCAAGCAATTTATAGGTCAGATGGCTATCGTACATTTTATAACCCCACTTTTTTCTGCCTAAGAAGAATCGAATATTTTCATCATCAATTCTAGGATCGTGATAATTCAAATTTATGTTTATGTAATGCAGCTAGGAGTGAGCTGCTATCTTGGTTAAGGACGAACGATAAAAGAATTATTGAAGTTTTATCAATGGACAACTACTCTAAACAAGAAAATCTATCCCAAAGATTAAAAAATGTATTACGAATTCCATCTAATACTATGGATCATGAAAATATTTATGCAACTGTTCAATGATTTTTTGTGCTATAATTTTTTGATATATTAGAAACTCTTTTCAGATTTTTCTGTTCATAGATTAGCATTCATTCATATAAAATCTGGCTACATAAAAATTTAAAGTAATTTTTGCAAAAATTCCCGTAAATTTCTTAGGTTTTTTTCTATTTCGATTGATGAAAATTTTCTTTTTTATTTGTCAATTTTTTAAAACTAAATTTACTTATATTCTTAAGTG